CAGGCGTCAGTCCGCAAAGGCGTGGGTTCGAATCCTACAGCTGTTAGAAATTTCTTTTCGTGTGACTTGATGAAGAACGCATTCCGCGGAAACGGTTCGGAACCGTTTTTGTGTCATGTCCTATAGTGTAACGCATCTTCTCCGCTATGATTTTTGAATCACTTACCGACAGTTTGGCCGAGTGGTCTAAGGCGCTGGCTTAAGGCGCCAGTCCGAAAGGGCGTGGGTTCGAACCCCACAGCTGTCAGTCTATATACCTGACTGGTGTTATATTGAGAACCCAGACCTTTTCAGAAGCGAGGTAGTGCAAGACCAAAACCTTTTGATCGATATTGTGCCATCGCACCTCGCAGAATCCGTTCAATCCATTTTTTGTGTCCTCTGGTTTGGCAGAGCGATGCATCACCTCGGCTATGAATCGTGAAGCACTCATCGACAGTTTGGCCGAGTGGTCCAAGGCGCTGGCTTTAGGCGTCAGTCCGTAAGGGCGTGGGTTCGAACCCCACAGCTGTCAGTCTATATACCTGACTGGTCTTATATTGAGAACCGAGACCCTTTCAGAAGCGAGGTAGTGCAAGACCAAAACCTTTTGATCGATATTGTGACATCGCACTTCGCAGAATCCGTTCAATCCATTTTTTGTGTCCTCTGGTTTGGCAGAGCGATGCATCACCTCGGCTATGAATCTTGAAGCACTCATCGACAGTTTGGCCGAGTGGTCTAAGGCGCTGGCTTAAGGCGCCAGTCCGAAAAGGCGTGGGTTCGAACCCCACAGCTGTCAGTCTATATACCTGACTGGTGTTGTATTAAAATCCGAGACCTTTTCAGAAGCGAGGTAGTGCAAGACCAAAACCTTCTGATCGATATTGCGCCATCGCAACTCGCAGATACCGTTCAACCCATTTCTGTGCCCTTTGGTTTGGCAGAGCGATGCATCACCTCGGCTATGAATCTTAAAGTACTCATCGACAGTTTGTCCGAGTGGTCTAAGGCGCTGGCTTCAGGCGTCAGTCCGCAAAGGCGTGGGTTCGAATCCTACAGCTGTTAGAAATTTCTTTTCGTGTGACTTGATGAAGAACGCATTCCGCGGAAACGGTTCGGAACCGTTTTTGTGTCATGTCCTATAGTGTAACGCATCTTCTCCGCTATGATTTTTGAATCACTTACCGAGAGTTTGGCCGAGTGGTCTAAGGCGCTGGCTTAAGGCGCCAGTCCGAAAGGGCG